GCCCCTTCAGATTAGCCTCCACCAGCCAGAATTGTCTATGAAAATGTTCACAGAACCATGTTGCTCCCCAGCTTAAAACCCTCTTGGTGGCGTCCACTGTACTTGCAGTAAAGTCCAAAATGCTTACCCGGCCCTGCAAGGCCCTGTGGTCTGGCCCGCCTTCCTCTCCACCTGTCTTCCACATCTTCCTTGCTCACGCTGCTCCAGCCATACGCACTTGCTTTCTGCTGCTGGATTTGCTATGTAGCTTACTGCCTCAGGGCCATCACCTCCTTTGTTCCTGTGGCCTGTATGCTCTTCCCCACATTCTTTGCCTTACAAATGGTCAAATTGCTGAGTAAATGCTACCCTCCATCTTACATCAGGTATCCTATTCTTTTTTTTTTTTTTAAGATTTTATTGGGGAATTGGGGAGGGGAACAGACAAGTTGCTGTCCTTTTGTTCTTCAGTCTAGTTGTGGAGGACATCGCTTCACTGGCCCATATTTGTATTGTGATCATTGCGCTCTTCCCAGGTGAGGCAGTCACTCACCGGCCATTGGATGGCCACTCACGGTGGCTCACGGCAGCTCACAGCAGCAGGGGCTGCAGCCTATGCCGTTGCCAGTGACTCACAGCAGCCCAGCTCCATGTTGAGATGTTCACCATCTTAGCTGTAGACGGCAGTGTCACTGACCCTCATGTGGGATCCGAACTGGGGCCCTGCTGCTCAGAGCTGGCGTCCCAAGGCAACTCTTAACCAACGTGCCACTCGGCCTGCCCAGGTATCCTATTGTTGAAAGCACCTTTCCCAACATGGAATTACATAATTTGATGGCTTTTTAAAATTGTTCCCCAGTCCCCAAACACTGTAAGCTCTATACAGGGAGAAAGAACATCTTCGTTTCGCTTTTTTAAAAAAATCAGCTTTACTGAGGTATAACTGACTGTTTTGCTTTTAACTACTGTATTCTGTGAGTTTAGCAATGGTCGGACACATAATACCGTCTATCGGATACTTACTGACTCAGTGATGGAATATCAGGGCATTTCATCAACTCCAGTGTTCCCCTCAGACCATGAGCTCCTTGAGGGCAGATTCAAGCTCATCTCTGGGTCCTTAGCCCCTAGCCTAGGGCTTGGCACTAAGGGACACATAGGGAATGTTTGAACTGAAGGAAATGGGGAACTGATGGGTTCCTTCAATAGAAGGAGGGAGTTCAATGCATTGCTGAATATCAAGAACAAACTCTAAGGTCTGTGGGAGTTGGGCTGTGGGCTCTGAGTGGGCAGGGAGTGGCTTTCTGCTGTCCACTGGAGGATGGGGAGCGAGTCAAAGCTCTAAGTAGGCCCATGGGGGAGCAGAGAAAGAGCAAGCTGAGGGCAGGTCTGGGTTTCCACCCTGACTCCAACCACTCACCTGCTGTGTGACATGGGGCGAGGGACTTCAGTTCCCTTAGCTCCAATTCATCCATAAAAGGGGGATGGTAACAGACCTTACCTCCTGAGATTGTCGTGAAGGTTAGAAATAATGCATTGGCTCAATTAGCACAGAATCGACAGTGCTGCTGCTGCAGCTGATGATGATGGAGAAGAAGAAATATTTAAGTACTTGGATGTTGGTGCTCCTAAGTAGAACACGGGGTGGATACAGCTTAACCTTGACTTCGGGCCACTGGAGAAGCAGTTCTGAGGGCAGGGCCAGGGGTGAAGCAGGTGTGTAGACAGGAAATGAAGGCTCCAGCCCAGAAGCTAGCAAAGTGGGGAAGAGGTGGGCAGGCAGTACCTGGGGTGGGCCAGGCTGAGTTTGATTTGAGAGTATCGGAGGCCCATTGGAGGATTGCATGGCCCTGCAGCAGGATCAGCCAAACCTCTCTTTATCTGTGTGTCTGTCTGCCACTGTCATCCTGTTTTCCCACGTGTTTGGGTCCCTAAGACAGCTTTCCCTGAACCCCCAGAGGCTGCCTTGGCCTGGGCTCTGCTGAAGGCCAATGTGCTGAGCTGCAGGGGGAGGTCTGTGTCACTGAATCTTAGGTCCCAGTTTGTCTCCTGGCCCAGCAGTGGACTCGCAGTGTGGCTTGCAACCCATTCTCCCCTACCTCCTGCTAAGCTGGGGGTCTGAGGGGCCCCTCTGAGCTCCTACATGCTACAGCTCTACAGATGAAGCAGTGCTCGTGGGGAAAGAACCCTTGGGCCCCCATGCAGCCGGGGGGGGGGGGGCTCATTGGAGATGTTGCCAGACACAGCAGGATCCAGAAAGAGGCTATAGGGAGCCGAGCCGCAGAGAGGGTCCCCAGGGGCGGCCGAGAGAAAGAGGCCATGGCTGGGGGCCCTGAGGGGTGAAGAATCCTGCTCTGCTGTCCCTGGTGGGCTGGCTGCTCCCCCCACCACTCCCCGCCGGGCCCCCGGGGGACCTCGCTCTAATAATGTATTTGATCGACTCGCCGGCCGCGTACAAGCGATTATTGTCTTGTCGGGAGTCAAACGTATCGATCCGGTGAGAAATATGAGCGGAGCAATGGGGCCCGCGTGTCAGTTACCAGCCCTGCTGGCCCTGGGGAGCCCCCTGCGTCTCCTTTAATTACCGCTCAGCCCTGAGCCCAGCCTGGCCTCCCCGCCTGCTGCCTCCCGCCCAGGATTCCTGCACCCCCAGGGCCCCTGCTGCTCCCCAGCTCCTGTGCCCTACCTGTCTTGCTCAATATGGCTGGAGGCCTGTTCTCCAGCTGTGAGGCCACCATCTCCCCTGCCTGGGCTGCCCCATTCCTGTCTACCAGGCCCTACTCACCCAGTGTGCCCCAAACTCTGCCCCTCTGTCCTCTCTCAGGCAGGGGGACATCTCAGGCCTATTCTCCTTCAAGATTCCCTGACTCTGGCTCAGGGACTCAGTTCTTGTCTGCCTGAGGCCATAATAGTGGAGCCAACATGGGAAGCAAGAGGGGTGGTGGGGTGACTTCATCCGATGGGGGCGCCTGTAAGGCTTTCCCCTGCTCCCCCACTCAGCTGCAGGCCTGGGAGGGCAGCATGGAAATGGGTGGCACTTCTCTTCTTGCTCACAATGAGGGATTGACACCGGGTCAGGTCCAAAAGCACGCTCCACACATGGGTGATGTTGACAATGTCTGGGGTGGAGCATAGGGGTGGCTTGGTGGGGTTTTGCACCCCCTCCCCCCAGTCCTTATGACCTTCATTTCCAAAGCCCCAAAACATAAATCCTAAATCAAAACAGTGTACTGGGCAAATACAGCTTTAAACCAAGGCTCCAGTACCCCACTGCCACCAGACTGCTGTCCCGAAGACCCTCATGTATAGAAATCCTGCATCAGAGAGAGAGAGATATGGACAGGAGGCAGGAGGTCTGAGTTGGAGCCGGGTTGATGCTGTATGATTTCTGGATTTTCTCAGCGAAATGGCCTTTATAATATGGGATGTTGTGGAGTGTAGACAGCTGGGAACTGTTCTCTCTGTGTGCAGATGTAAGGACTGTTGGTCATTCCCATCAAGTGGGCCTGCCTGCCGGGGCGAGTCTGGGTGCCAACAGAGGGGCACTCATGAAGGTCTGCCTTATATCCTTCGTGAGTGTGCATGGGTGTGAGTGTGGTCAGACAGGGAGTGAGATAAGGACTGGGAGGCCTGCCTGGGCACATATGTGTATATGTGCCCTTGTGCCCGTGTATCCACGTGAGGGAACAGAAGGGGTGTCTGAACACGAGAGTGGGAGGGTGGGTGGGGAGGGTAGTTGGGGCCTGTGTGTCTGCGTGCACGTGTGTGTGTGTGTGTGTGTGTGTGTGTGTGAGAGAGAGAGAGAGAAGTGCTGGGGTTCGCGTGTAGAAATACTTGAGTGTGTGTGTTGCGCGCGCGTGTATGTGTGTGTGTGTGTGTGGGGGGAATGGTGAGTTCAGGCGTCGGTGAGCGCGCGTGTGGTTTGGGGGGGGGGTCCCCCAACGTGGGAGGCATCGAGTCCTGTGGGGCCTGGGACAGGCAGGTGGGCAGATGGGCAGTTTGGAGTCGCCGGGCAGCCCGGCAGCCTCGGACCAGGCAACAGGAGAAAGAAGAGGGCAGTGGCTCCGCCGCGCCTTTGTCTGCGCCGCCGTGCGCCGGGAGTCCTGCGCCTTTGTGTGACCCTCGCAGGTGTGCGCGCGGGGGCGGAAGAGGGGTAGACCCGGAGGGGAGCGAAGGGAGGGGCTCCCTCCTTCGCAGCCGGCCCCGCCCTCCGGCCCATTGGGTGGGCGCTGCCGCCCTCTGGCGGGCGCAGAGCGAAGCGCTGGGCCGGGAGCGCCGCGGCGCGAAGAGCCAGCCGGCATCCAGGGGACCCGGGATTCCCCTCCACCGGTGCCGCCTCGGCGCCCGTATTTGCCCTGTGGCCGACTTCTTGCCGCTCCAGGGCAAGGCCCGGACCTGCCGCCCGAACTGCCCACGGGCGCCACTTCCCTTCAGTGGTGGCCCCGGTCGCCTCACCTGAGAACAGGTGCGCGGCAGGGTCCCCCCTCCCCACGGCCGTGCCGGAAATCCACCGCGAACGCCACCTCCTGCTGTGCCTCTGGGCTCTGGGCTCTTGGGAAGGCCACTTCACCTCTCTGGTCCTCAGTCTTCTCGTCTGCTAAATGGGGCAAATAGTGATTGCTTTAAGAGATGACGCGTGTCAAGTGCGAGGTGCAGGGTCTCGCGTTGGGAAAGCCCCACGCCCCAAATACTTGTAGCCAGTGTTTTTGTTGTTGTTGCTGTAGGTCCACCTTCTCTCCTAGGCCCACACGCCCTGTTCCAGATGTGTTTGCCCCAGTGGAGGCGGCAGTGGGGCTGGGGCAACTGCTGCAGGCACCTCCTGGAGGCACCGCTGTGGAAGTCAGGTCTTCCAGCCTGCTTGGTCTCTGACCCAGTACCCCCACTTCCCCAACACACACACACGATTTGGGGTCGCTGCCTGCTGGGGTGGGCCTTCGTCAGGGTATTTTCCCTTCCGAAGGGGGCGGACCCTGCGGTTTCCTCCCAGGGTGACTTCCGGCAGAGAAGGCTTGGCCCCCAGAGAGGGCGGGGAGATGACACAGTTGTTCCCCCAGCCCTGCGGGGCGGGCAGCATGGTTCACTCCAGCATGGGGGCTCCAGGTAAGGGGCCGGCGCCACTGCTAGGGAACACGGGCAGCTCTTTGGGGTTTGTCCTGCTCTACCCATCGCTGGCCTGCCCTGCCCTTCTTCCTTAGCTGTCTCCTCTGCCCTTTCACTCTGTACCGCAGCAGTTCCCCCTTCCCACCCTGGGTCCCCACCCCCAGCTCATCTTTTCCTTCCCCTTCCCCCTCAGACACCTGGGGGCTTCTGACCTCTTCTTTCCATCTCTGCCACCTTGTTCTGAAGGCTCCGGGGGAGGGGATGCAACCTGAGGTTGGTAGGAGGCTCTTACATAGAGGACCAGTGGGTGGCCAACATGAGTGCTCCTTGAGTGGGGGCTGAGTTGCTGTCAGTTGCTGGACATTTGAATGTGTGCATGCCTGTGTAAAGGTATGTGAACAGTAGTCCTAAGTCTTCTGAGTGTGGCTGTCATGCGTCTGTGTGTGAGGGAGAGTGGAGGGCTGTTGTGTGTGGCATTGTGGGGGTAGCCCTGACAATGATCTCTTGGCTTCCTCGCTTCATTTGCTCAGCTATCACCTCCTCAGGGAGGCCTTTCCTGACCTCCCCATCTAAACTGGCAACGAATCCCACCATTTTCGGTCCCTTTGCCCTGCTTTCTTTTTTTCATGGCATTTATCTCCACCTGAAAACTTATTATATGTCTGTGTGCTTGTTAACTGCCTCCCTCCTCCACCCCGCCCCGCAAATGTCAGTTGACTGAGTGAACATTGTGCGTCAGGCACCATACAAGGTGATTTGGGTTTGTTGGCTCATTTGGTATAATGTATCTATTTCTGCATAATGATAGTTATGTCTCAGCAGTGCTGACGGGAGAGGTAAATGAGGTAGCACGCGTACATGCTTAAAACAGTGCCTGGAACACAGCAAGCGTCAATAGTTCACAATTGCTTTATTTGTGGCCGTATAGGTGTGACTGTGGGTATGTGTCACATTCATAGGTATCTGAGGGATGAGTCTTTGGTGTGTGCTGTCCTGTGTACACCAGATGCCCTGTGTGCAGGATTCCCTGTGATCCTTCATCAACATGTATTTATTCAGCAATTCTGTGCTGGATGTTGGAAATACAACTGAATACAGTTTTAGTTCTGTCCCCCTGAAGTCTCCGGTCCAGCGGGGGAGACGGATCTGTCACCAGACAGTGGAGGAGGCACAGGCAGAGGGGTCAGGGCTGGTATCCAGAGGCACAAGGGACTGTGAGAGTCCAGAAGATATGCCCAGTTCAGCCTGTGGGATGTCAGGGAAGGCTTCCTGGAGGAGGGGATATCTGGGCTGAGATGCGAAGGACGAATGGGTGTGAGCAAGAAAAAAGGTGAGGAGGGGGTTGAGATGGGAGGAAGATATCTTGCAGGCTGGCATATGATTATTTATTGAGGTGACCATGTGTGCAACCATGTCTATGTGTGTGTTCTCACACAGTGGACACAGCCCCAGGGCATCTGCACATGCATGCCGTCTGCTCCACCACTGACTCACCCCTGTCTGGGCTTGAATGGGGGTCTCGTACATTTCAGGCACTGGGTTAGACCCTTTACTTGGGATTTCTCACAGAACTGCCCTGCCTGAGAGGCCCACCCTGGATTCCCCTGCCTGGACAGGAATTAATACATCATGTGGCCTTAGGTAGATCACTTATTCTGCCTGGTATTAGGCTCCACATCTGTGAACTGGGTTCAGGAGTCCACCCTGGTCATCTCCCAGGATGAGGTGGCTCTAGGCATATTAGTGTGTGTGCACTTATGTGTGTGTGTGTCTAGCTTAGTGACCTGGGTGCACCTGTGGATGCACATCTGTGACTGTATGTCTGTCTGTGAGTGATTCTGGGTGTGTGATTGTGTGCACAACTGTGTGTGTCTATCTGAGTGACTTGGATGTGTGAATGTGTGTATGTCTGTTTGTCTGTCTGTAAGTGACTCTGGGGTGTGAGTGTACATATCTGTGTGTGCACCTGAGTGACCTGGGTGTGTGTCTGAGTGACCTGGGTGTATGAGTGTGTGCATGTCTGTGTGTCTGTCTGTAATTCTCAGGTGTGAATGAGTGCATGCCTTTGTGCATCTGAGTGACCTGGGTGTATATGTGCACACCTGTATCCATCTGTATGTGTGCCTGTGAGTGACTCTGGATGTGTGAGTATGTGTGGGTGTTACTCAGTGTGTGAGTGTGTGTAAGCACAGGTGTGCTCACCTCTGTCTGGATGTTTTGCCTATCTGCCCGTGTCATTGTGTCTGGGCCTGTGTCTTCATCTGTACACATTCCTGTCTGGGATCTGTGTGCACCTGACCCTGTGTGTGTTTTCAGGTCTCTGTCCATGTCTGAGGCCCGGCCCGGCTGTGGCGTGTGTGCTGTGTGGCAGCTCTTGCCTGTCGTTAGCACAGCTCTGGGGCCACATCTCTTGTTGTGTCCACCAGTATCTCCATCCTTCTCTCTTGACAGCTCTGAAGTGTTCACTCCCTTGGGGCCACCCAGGGACAGCTGTGGGTTGTGGGGGTGTGAGGTGCTGCAGCTCCTGGGGAGGCCGGGACTAGGCCAGCTGGGCCCACAGAGGTTCCCGGCAGCAAAGACCCTGCCCACAGGGGCTCCCAGGCCAAGTCTTGATTGAAGCAGGCTGTGGAGGCAGGGGACCCAGGGGACAGGCCAAGTGGGACCAAGAGGGGTGAGGGGCAGCCCTTGGGCTCTCTATATTTAGCCCAATTTTCGGTAAGTGCTAACGAGAAGCTGACCCAAGTCTGCTAAAACTGGCTGGGGGAAATGCAGAGGAGAAGTGAAAGTCGGTGAGGGAGGGGTGAGGAGGGGTGAGCAGAGTCCCTGGTCTGGGGCAATCGGGCAAGCTAGTATGAGGCTAGGGGCATGAGTAGCCCTGGTTGGTTTCAATAATGGACAATGGGATGGTGGGAATCAAGGGGCCGTAGGGTTCTGCCTCGCTTTTCACCTCCCCTCGCCCATTCTGCTAAAAAGGTATGCACTGCCTGGGATGGGAGAAGGGCGGGGATGGCCATAAATCACCAACCAACCTTCCTGTAGGAATGAGGCTTTGAGAGGGGCTTCTGAAATTTCCAGGGGGCAGGAGCACATTAGAATCACCCAGGGCAGGGGCGCTTTAAAAATCCGATCCCCGGGTGGCACCGTGTGCCAGTGAAATCAGTGTCTGGGGTGGGTGGGATAGCATCAGTATTTCTCTAGTCAAGAGAGAGGGGCGTGGGGAAGCCCTGCCTGGGTCCAGGTGGAGACAACCTGCAGGTGGGTGGCTCAGCGGCCTCGACTGAATTGCCAGTGCCCTAAAGTCTCCACTAAAGCAGCACTGGATTTTGGTTCATGGTGGAAATGAGTCCTCTTAATTCATCCTTGGTGGGGATGATTTGATGACACTGTTTTCTCAGATTGGGCTCTGATGGAGGAGGAGGAGAGCAAGAGAGGCCTGGGCAAGGGGCCGCACTGGCCATTTTGCCATCTGCCCAGCCAAGGGCAGCAGGGGTGCAGGCTGTGTGTGTAGGGTGTGATTAGGTTGAATAAGGGAAACAGAGTGGTGGAAATGTACCCTCAAACCACTTTTGCCTCTCCAGCCACTATCCCTGCAGAGGAGATGCTACCTTAAAGGTGTAGGTTGGAATTGCTTGGGGATTGGGGCTGAGGGTTGAGGTGTCAGGTGACAGCAGGGGGAGGGTCTTGTTTGGGACAGGATCTGGTCCTGGTCTCTTGGAGACTCTTCTATGCATTTATTCATTCCAAAGACACAGTCCCAGCCCATGCAGCGATGACTCCAACCTGGGCCCTAAGGAGTTCAGTCTGGAACTGGGGGTCACTGCCTGGGTGGTCAGGGTGTGTTGGGGGCAGGGACGGGGAGCCCAGAGGAAAGAGATACTGACCAATTGGGGAGTCAGGGAGGACCTCACAGAGGAGGTGACATGTGAGCTGGGGGCTTGAAGAAGAGCAGGAGTTTGCTGGTAGAGAAGGAAAGGTCACCCCAGGCCCGAGGAGAGCGGAGGCAAAGACCTGGACGAGGGAGCTCAGGGCCTCGAGCCCACCCTTGTTCATATAACCCACGTATCCTATGTTGGGCAGTGTCAGGGACCCCAAGATGAGTCAGACCTGCCCTTGAGGGGGTCCTAGTCTGATGGGGGAGGCATACTGGGACCCAGATGGCTACAGCCTCTAGGAGGGTGACGAGGAGAGATGATAGGTCAAGGTGGAGGGAGCAAGGGAGAGACATCTGGGGGCACCAGGGGCTGTGACTTCACAGAGGATGGAGCCTGTGCTGGGTCCTGAAGGATGAGGAGGAAGTCAGCCAGGTGGACAGGGTGGAGGACAGCATTCCAGGCCGAGGGACCAGCCCTGTGACAAGGTCTCAGGAAACATTTGTTCAGTGGCAGAGACAGCAGGACAGAGGCAGACCAAGAGACAGAGAGCTGCAGGGAAGGGTGTTCGGCAAACATTCTTCTGAGCTGGGTGATGCCAGGGACCCAGCAATGAGTCAGACCCAACTCTACCCCCTGGTCTGGGGGGAAAGGACCGGGACACAGCCCTGTGGGCTTGGGACTGGAACAGCAGGAGGCCACAACTGTGTGAGACTGTATTAGTCTACTGAGGCTGCTGTAACAAATGGCACAGACTGGGTGGCTTAAACAACAGAAATGCATTTTCTCACAGTTCTGGAAGGTAGAAGTCGAAGGTCATGGTGTCAACAAGGCTGGTTTCTTTTGAGACCTCTCTCCTTTGCTTGGGGTGGCCATCTTCTCCCTGTGTCTTCACCTTGTGTGTGTGTCTCTGTCCCAATCGCCTCTTCTTGTAATGCCACCAGTCATATTAGATTAAGGCCCACCCTAATGGTCTCATTTTAGCCTAATAACCTTTCTAAAGACCCTTTCTCCAAATATAGTCACATTCTGAGGTACTGGGAGTTAGGGCTTCAACATATGAATGTTGGGTAACACAACACAGCCCATACCAGAGGCCAAGGATGAGCACGGACTCTGGGGTGGAGGTGAGGTCAGAGGCTGCCCTGGTCTGTGAGCAGCAGAAGAATTCGCCAGCTAGGTGGGGAATAGAGAAGCGGCAAGGCCTGGACTCCCCGTCAAGCAGAACCCCCAAGCAGAAGGAGATGCCTGGTGTGGTTGAAGAGCATGATGCATGAGTGGTTAGAGATGGCAGTGGAGGGTGGCAGGGGCCACACCCCAAAGGCCAGGCTTAAGAGCCCGGGCTTTTCTTGGGAGGATGGGGAGTCAGGGAAGGGTTCAGGGCTATAGGGCACTGGATGTGGGAAGGGTCTGCCTGGAGCACTGTGGACACTGGCTGGAGGGAGGGGCCAGGGACAGGGCTGGGGCAAGGGTTTCAGGGATGCTAGGAGGGGTGGGATTTAGGGCTGCGTTAGGGTTAGTGGGTGCCAAGGCCCGGGAGATTTACAGCCAGCATCAGGCAGGAGTCCTGCCTTTGATGCCTAGAGTCAGAACAGGGCCTCATCGCAGCTCGCTTTGTGTCACTTGGTGCCCCATCCCCAGTGCCCAGAAACAGGGCCCCACCCTTACCAGCATACATCTTACTAGGATTACGTGCTGGCTTTTTCTTTTCTTTTCTAGCTTTTAAGTTTTTTCTTTTTGTGTGTGTGTGTGAAAATATACACGTAATAAAGTGCTCAGATTTAAAGTGTACAGCATGATGAATTTTTACATGTGTACAGACCCACGTAACTACCAAACAGATCAAGATGCAAAACATTTTCTACCCCGACAGCCTTCCTCATGCCCTTTCCCAGTCAGCCCCCGTCAAAGGTACCCAGTTGTCTGATCTTGATCATCTGATATCATCTTGCCTGTTTCTAAGCTTTGCATAATTGGGGTCCTACTGTCTGTTTGCTTTTGTGTCTGATGTCTTTCCTTCTCTGTCACATCTGCGAGATTCAGTGGTATGTGATGCAGTTCATTCTTCTCCCCGACTGGGGAGTGTTTCTTGTATGGACATACCACATTTTGCTGACCCATTCCCTGTTGACGGGCCCTTGAGTGATTTCCATCTCAGGGCCATTATAAAAGGACTGCTGGGAGCATGTGTGCCCGTGGGCACTGGTGAGCAGGATGCCTGGGAGTGGCCGTGCCGGGCCGTTGGGAGAGGGCACCTCTTAGTTTTCCTGACTTGTACTTGTATCGATTTACACTCCCACCAGCAGTGTGTGACCTGGCTTCTTAATCAGGAATTTTAAACCCCAGTGGCGTTTCGTGTCAAGTAATCCTCAATTGCAAAATTCCTGGACTTTTTTTTTTTTTCAGTTGCTTAGGACATCCCTGCTCTCTCTTTAGCTGGCCTTCTTAAAATATCTTGGGTGTAGAGCACACTAGAGTTGGACAGCTCCTTTGATAGGGTGGGGTCATGGTTTAGGTGGGGATTTGGAGTGACTTGTGGGGGAGACTCTGGAGTCAGAGTCAGGGTCATGAGTAAGGTCTGAGGCCAAGTTGGGAGTCAAACCCAAATGAAGGCGTTGGACCATCTGGATGGGAGTTGGCATCCAGGGTGGGTAAGGGGATTGAGAACAGGTCAGGCAGAAGCCCAGATATGTGTGGGTGTCTCAGACCAGGAAGGGCTGGGCCCCAGTCGGTGTCCGGGTGAGCTTGGGTTGGGGTGGCTATTGGAGATGAGGTGAGTGGAAGCCGTGACTGGGGTTCATTTGCCCGTAGCAATCCTGACTAGAAGTGGGAACCCTCGAGCCACAGAGACCGGGGGTCCAATCTGCTGTCTTACTGTGCTCTTGGGGAGATGACACACCCTCAGAACCTCAGTGTCCTCCTCTGTGAAATGGGGGTAATAGCACCAACTGCTAACGTGAGTTCAGAGTCATGCTTAGCGCTGTGCTTGGCACTGGTAAGCGCTCACCTTTCCACAGTCAGTGTCAGAGTCCTGAGAGGACAGGGCACCGGTCTCCCTTGCTTTGTGTCCCCTGGTGCCAACTTGCTATTTGCCACCTCCCCTTGGCCACCTCCTTTCATTTCCAGGGGCTATGGAAAGGGATTGCATTTTAGGGCCCGGGTATCTCGGTGGGATTTGGGCATGCAATTGGAATTCAAGGCTGAAGTCCTAGGTAAGGTCTAGGATTAGGTTCAAGGACAAGGTCAAGGGCAGAGCCAGATGGAGTTGGAGCTGAAGTTACCAAGGTCAGAGTGAGGCTGCTCGGCTTGTGCACTGAATACATAGAAGGGAGACTGGTGGGAGTGAGGTGCGGACAGGAAAGTGGTGGGCCGGGGGAGGGGGCCGGCGGGCGGCTGAATCACACCTAGAGATCTGAAGACTCGCTCCTCTGGGGATGCTGCACTCCCATCACATCCCCCAGGCCCCACTCAGAGTGGAAAACATGCCTCAGCCGAAACCTGGTGAGGCAGGACGGGCGTCTGGGCGGCACGCCTGAGCAATAGGCCCAAGGCTGACTCGCCCCTTTGGAACATCACCACCTCCTCCCAGCAGCCCGGCAGCTGAGGCGTTCTCAGGACCACCATCTACCTCCCACCCTGCCCCAGGGCCTCCTGGGGGCGACCTTTCCTGTGCACCTCCTGGAGGGTGAAAAGGATCAGGGATGATCCCTAAGGCTCGACGGCCCCTCTCTTGTTCTCCCAGAGAAGGATAGAGGCCCATGAACGGAGGGCATGTCTCCTGGAAAAACACACTTGTAAGGTGGCCAGGGGTGAGGAGGATTTGAGAACAGGCTGTGGTGGTGCTGGAGGAGGGGCCGAGAACCCTCCTGGCTTCCCCTCTCTCACCCCACGTCCATCCCTTCTCTGTCCCCAGAAATAAGAATGTCTAAGCCCCTGGAGGCCGAGAAGCAAGGTCTGGACTCCCCGTCAGAGCACACAGGTGTGTGGGAAAGGAACAGGAAGGCAGAGGGTGGGCAGGAGGCGGGTGTGGTGGGGAGCATCAGGGGTGGCTGGTGACAACCCGCTTTTTCCTTCTCATTACAGACACGGAAAGAAATGGACCGGACACTAACCACCAGGTCAGGAGGGACTAGATGAGCAGGAGAGGTTGGGAGGAGGAGAGGGGAGAAGAAGGGGGCTCTGTGGGGGAGAGATGGGTGTCAGAGGCTGCTTCATCTCACTGTTCCCATCCCCACCCCAACTTGCTTTCTACAGAATCCCCAGAATAAGACCTCCCCATTCTCCGTGTCCCCGACTGGCCCCAGCACCAAGGTAAGCACCTGTCAGAACAGCCAGGGCAGCGGGAGGGGAAGTGGTGTCCTGTGATGGTGGCAGTTGCATCTGGAAGAGGGTTCTGCAGGCCTGCCATGGGCCCGGGGCCTGAGGGGACACTGAGCCCTGGTACCCTGGTGACAAGGCTCCTCCCGCCCCTTCTCACCCCTGGGCTCCCGCCCCAGGACTGTGACTCACCCTGGCTCCTTCCCCTTCCCTGGGGGGTGGGGGTGGCCAGGGAAATCCCCCCCAGAGCCCCAGGGCGATGAACAACAGGAAGCCAAAGGCCCCACCCCCATCCCAACTTCCCTGACCAAACAGGGGCCTGCCCCACCCCACCCTCTGCCCCCCAACACACACACTCAGGGGTGAAGGGTGGGAGGGTGCTGGGGTCAGGAGGAGGCAGACCCAGTGAGGATGGCTGAGGGGCTGAGGAGATGCTACAGGAGAGGACCATGGGAGGCTGGAAGTGGCCAAACAGGGCCCTGCTACTGGTCACTGCTGGGCTTCCTGGGGGTCTGAGGCCCAGTCCTCCACCCTTCAGCCTGGCAGGGGCAGTCGGCAGGTCCAGAGGCCTTAAGGCAGCACAGAGGTCAGGGGCAGAGGGAGCACAGGCAGGACTCCTGACCCTGACTAAAGGTGGCAGAGGGACGGGGTGGGGAGCTTGGAGCTGCTCTGTGACCTTGGGAAAATCACTTCCCCTCTCTGGGCTTCTCAGTTTCCTCTTCTCTGAATGGGGGAGGGGGCAGTCAGATTAGATGTCCTGTGAGGTCCCTTCCACAGCTGGTGCGCCCTGATGCCCCTTGATGGGCAGGTGTCTTATCCTGAGTGCGTTGGACAGGGACCCGGGAGAAGGTCTCTGGCTCTGACCTCCCTCTCTCTGATCTCAGGCTCGGCTCTGGCCTTGGCCCTCAGAACATCCATCTCCCCCACCCTCTCCCTCCTCAGCTGAATCTTTGCAGCCTCTCCTGACCCCTCAGCAGCCCTGCTTCTCAGTGGGGAAACCACTGGGGCCTAGAGAAGGAAAGGTTCTTGCCCCTGCCCCCGGCCTGGGCCCTGGTTCCCTGGGATAGCCTGAGGCAGAGAGGGCGGCTGCCTCTGACTCCCAGCCTGCGTCCACACTGCTCTCAGTCTTTGCCTCTCCATCTATTCCATCGCTTCTGCATCAGTTTTTCCGGAACTGCAAGGATTCACGTGCTCCCATCATGGTTTCAGACAAATCAGCACACCTCCGCGTACAATGATTTACATCATAACTTTGTTAACTGGCTCAATTTAAAACAAAACAAAACATTTTTATTATGGGAAATATGAAGCAGATAGTAGAAAGGAGAGGATAATGAAAATAAACCCCCGGGTGCCCATCAATCAGCTTCAACAATTACCAACTCATGAACCAGCTTGCTCTTTCAACAGCTGAAATAAATGTGTTTTTAAATGGAAATTTCACGAATGGAAAACCAGAATCACTTGCCATGGAAATAAATACAATGATTATTAAAATGTACCCAGAGCCTCTTGCCTACGGAAGGGTCTAAGCCTGAGTCTGTTCTCCCTTTGTTAAAAGGGGAGATTAGCCGACGACGTTGGCAGGCGTTAGAGACATGCTAGCACTTAACAAAGACTTTCTTAAGAGAGCCAGAAAGAATGAGAGAGCTCAGAAGGAGGAATAGTGTTCTCAGCATGGCTCTCGATGTTGTGGTTGTTTTTTTGACTTTTAATTAAAATATGACACACACATAGATCTTCAGTGGACGGCCCTGCGGATTTTTCACAAACTGAATAGCGGTGTCATCAGCATCAGATCAAGGAGCAACACACAACCAGACTTCCAGAAAGCCCTAACTCCCCTCCAGGGACAGCCACTGGCCCCGCTTCTCATAGCCAGTTGTTTCATGCCGCACCCTCTGTACTCCTTAAACTTTCTGACATTTGTACCCCATACTTGGGGGCACGCCACTTACGTTCTTCTATTATGTGGTTCTTCCTGGGCCTCTGCCTATCTGTTCATCTCAGTCTGCATTCCAAATGCCACACCCCTGCCAAGCCACGGTGTCACCGTGAACAAGTTGCTTTCCCTCTTTGCATCTCTTTTGCAAAATGGTCCTGGGACACTGGGCTGAAGGGTGGCCCTGAATGTCCCCTCTAGGCCTGAGAGTGTGTGACTCATCAAGCCATGCCTCCTCCCACTCCATGTGTCCGTTACCAACAGACCCCATGGGTGAGCCCACCGCTGTCTAGCTCTAGCTCTTTATCTAGGGGAGGGAGGGACCAGGACTGCTCTGTGCTGGCCTGTCCTCTGTGTTTGGTGTAAGATGCATCCACATCCTACAGAGAGATGAGGAAGGGCTTGGCAGACTTTGGGGGTACAGGCTGACAGCTGGCAGCACCTGGGCTACATCGGCCTGTAGACGTGCTTTGCTTGTCCTGCCAGCATTTTTGCTTTAGGTTCTTTTTTTCTGTTTTTTTTGTTTGTTTGTTTTTTAATTGGGGAAGAGCGTGTTTTTCCAGGACCCATCAGCTCCAAATCAAGTAGTTGTTTCAATCTGGTTGTGGAGGATGCATCTCAGTGGCCCATGTGGGGATCGAACCAGCAACCTTGGTGTTATGAGCACTGCGCTCTAACCAACTGAGCTAACCGGTTGCCCCGACTTTAGGTTTTGAAATGAGTGGCCAGCAGGAGCAGAGTAGGAGCTAGGCAGACCTCCCCTTTAGGTGGGCGGGTGGGCACTGTCTCTCCAGTCCACCATCCAGTTCTGCCCTGTCATCCATTTGTGCCGTCTGCCTGTTTCTGTCTGCATTTGAATTCATGGCCTGTGTTCTAAAGCAATGTTTTTGTTTGTTTTTTAAAATATCTTAAGATATTTTAAATATCTTCCAATAAATTCTTACTCTATTGGACCAATAAGAGATGTGCCTCTGGCTGAAGCAAATGGGACCACATCCCCTTATTTGAGGTTCCAGGGCCCCATAGCATCATTTCCCATTTTACAGATGGGGAAACTGACTCCCAAGAGGGGAAAGGTGCTTTCCCAAGGTGGCCCTCTCCCATAGGGAGTTTGAGCACAGGAGGTGTGGTGGCCCAACTGACTGATGAGGAAACAGGCCAGAGCGATGGCCTGAGGCCCCCAGTCAGTGCAGGGTCTGGCCTCTGTGCCCCCAGCCACTCCTGTGTGGGCCCGAGGTTGCCGTTGCCACACTCGTGCCCTTTCTTTGGTTCACAGGTGGGCATTCTCTCTGGCCTCCACTTAACATTCTGGGGTCCCGGACCCTGCCTCTCTCCCCCCCAGATCAAGGCTGAAGACCCCAGTGGTGACCCAGCCCCAGCAGCACCCCCGCCCCCCCAGCCGGCTCAGCCACATCTGCCCCAGGCCCAGCTCATGCTGACGGGCAGCCAGCTTGCTGGGGTAAGTACTCGGGGAAGACCAGGACAAGGGCACAGGCCAGCTGCCTCCAACAGGACCGGTGGCCTGAGTGTCCCGCCAGAGCCATGGCCACTGTCTCCCACCTGCCTCTCGCCCTCCTCTGCCTCCTGGAAGACTTGCCCCCTAACCTGTTTGGCTCAGGCACTAACCCCTCTCTGCCTTCTCTGCTCCTCCCCACACCCCCCTGCGTCCCCTGCTGTCCTGCCCCCACAGCTCACGGCGCTGATGCCGGCTCAGCAGCAGCTCCTCCTGCAGCAAGCGCAGGCCCAGCTCCTGGCCGCCGCCGCAGCAGCCGCCGCCTCCTCCTCCTCCTCCTCTTCCTCCTCCTCCTCTGCCTCCTCCTCGACCTCGCAGCCCCCAGCCTCTTCTGGGGGAGGCGATCTGCCACCACCACAACCTGCCAGCCAGGCCCCCGGGACCCCACAGCTCACCCTGTCCCAGCCCATCCAGCTCACAGCACAGGTAAGGGCAGCCCGGACCGGCACATCCCTCCACCGAGGGCCCTCAGGAGGTCGCAGGGCCTGACTGGTCGGCGTAGTCGGTCCCGCCCCCGGCCACGTGCCAGGCAGCTCCCAGCAACCCGAGGAAGCCTTGGGAGACACCGCCCACCTCGCACAGCGGCAAAGGGAGGCTCAGAGGGAGGACATCCTCCACGGGATGCAGCGTCCAGCTGAGCGCTTTCCGTGCATCTGGCTGAGGGCTCACAGCCACCTGGGAGGTTGGCACGTTATCCTCAATCTATAGCGAGGAAACCAGGAGTTACCTCATAAGCGGTACCTGCGTGGGTGCAAACCAAGAGGCAGAAACTCAGCGTCGGTGCCCCACACCGTGTCCCCTGGCTCAGCCAGCGAGTCACTCTTTCATTCAAGGGGGCTATGATCTCGGAGTTGGAAATGCTGTATCCACGCTCCTCATTTTGGAGACTTCTGGTATACATCAACTCCTGAGTTAGTGGCAATAATTAGCTTCCTAGGGCTGCCATAACAAAGTTCCACAAACTGGGTGGCTTAAAACAACAAAAATGTATTGTCTCAGACCAGAAAGTCCAAAATCAAGGTGTTGGCAGGCAGGGCTGTGCTGTCTCTGAAGGCTCTAGGGGAAAATCCCTCTTGGCCTCTTCTAGCTCTGGGGGTGCCAGAAATCCTTGGTGTCTTGTAGATGGATGGCTCCAATCTCTGACTCATTATCACATGGCCATCTTCTCTCTGTGTATGTGTCTCTGTGTCCAAATTTCCCCTTCTTATAGGGACACCAGTCACTGGGTTAGGGCCCACCCTAATAACCTCGTTTTGACTTGATTACATTTGTAAAGACCCTATTACCAAATAAGGTCATAGTTACATGCACCAGGGGTTATGGCTTCCAATGTATCTTTCTGGGGGGGGGGGAGACACACAATTCAACCCATCACAGTGGCCAACAGATTTCCTATAAGGATAGTCAGCAGGGGCAGAGTAGGAGCTGGCAGGCTTCCCCTTGTGATGGGCCTGCTCGCTCCAACTCACCCTCTGCACACCAGCCTACATCACCCATTCATGCCGTCTGCCTGGTGGTTTCTGTAAGCGTTTGAGTCTGTGGCCCGTTTTCCAAAGCGATGAAGGTCCTGAGAAGCCCTACAGCAAGGAGCCCTGTTTAACTTCCCTTAGTCGGGTGTTTCCCACGACTGCTCTGCAGATGATATCGCTTCCTCTCTCTCTCTCTCCACCCACTTCCATGGAACCCCTGGGCAGATGCTGCTACACCAGGGAGCTGTCCAGCGCCCACCAGACTCTCCCCTTGACAGTGTTCTGCTTCCAATGGGCCTTTCCGCTACTGACCAGCACTCCCATTTGGAACTAGTCTTCACACTGAGCTGGTACCTGCCTCTTTAGAGCTTCCTACCCCTGGGCCTGGTTCTGCAGAAACCCACAGAGCCATCTGTGCCTATGGCTCTGTAATGGTTCTTCCAATCGTAGCCTCCTAATGCCAGGCTCGCCATGGTAACGGTAACTAGTCTGTTGGGAGCTGCCTTGGTACCAGGCACAGTGCTAATGTGGCCTCCTTGGGCGTACAAACCCCCATGGCCAAGGCTCTGAAGGGCTAAGTGACTTGCCTGTCCCAGGTCACACCGTGAGCAAGAGTGGCAGAGCCAACATGGGGGTCCAGGGCTCCCATCATATGATCCAGGGCTGCTGTCTCTAGCAGGGGGATATGTGTCCTGCCTGCCCACCCTAGCCACCCCACGAGACCCTAGCAGCAGGTGTTCCATTTGCCTCGTAGCACACACAGCTCTTCGTGGAACCACACCAGGGCTCCAGGCTCCTTCCTAGGTTTTGAATCTTGGTGTCCCGGCTCTTGTCCATTTTTCTACCTGGAAATCAGCTTCCCCCCTTTACCTGGGCAGCTCCTCTTCACCTAGGCTCCAGCTCGGGAGCCCATGCCTCCAGGAAATCTTCAATGCCCTCTCTCCCTCTAGCTGGTTTGCTTCCCTGCCTCTTGTCTCCTCTGGGGTCCTGCGGCTCGTGTCTCTCCTCCTGCCTCATCACCCAGGGCTGTGTCCAAATATGTCTGCGGAAATATCTGCTGAGGAAACAAAGATGACAGGGAGGAGGAAGGACAGGGCAGCCACGTGCAGACTCAGCCTGGCCATCATCCCCTGTGCGCAGCACATACTCCTGGTGTTCATTCATCCCTAGAACCATGTCCCCCAGGCTGACCCTCTGCCACCTTCTGTCCCACCAGGCCTGGTTTTCAAGGTCTCCCAAACCCCTTGCTGTCAAACCCTTTCCTCTTGCTCCTCCTGCCCCAGCTTCCGTCAGCTCTCATCTTCCCCTGTCTGTCCTCTGCAAGTGCAAAGCTGGGCCACGTTAGTCTTCTGGGAGTTCTGTTGCCCATGAGCTCTTTCCACAACAGACAGACAAACACGTATCCCGCGCTGCCCATGTGCCAGGTGCCATGCTGGGCCCAGGCGGCAGCGGGGATCGTATTCCGCCTGCCCCGGCTGCCCACCGTGGCCACAGCCAGCTTGACCCCTCTCTCCAGCCTGTATCTTGTGCCCGCCGATTCCACTTCTCGTGCCTGCTCAGCCCTGTCCTGCGGTCATTTCACAGACATCTCCCGGCCTCCTCTGTGTCAAGCCCTGGAGTGATTCTGACCCATCCATGCTCCCGAGAGCTCCCCGTCTTGTAGGGAAACAGACACACCAATGAACCATTAGGAAATGGTTTACTTGAAAAATACTAAGAAGGTCAAAAGCACTCATAACCTTATCACTTTACAATTATAAAACATATGAAGGGTCAGCTCCCTTTCTGTCCTTGTAATGCCAGCTTCCAAAGTAATGTCGGCTAAACAGTTTGGCAGAAACCCTTCCTGCATTTTTCTAGCTTATACAGATAAAGGGATGATTATCATACAGGTTTGTGATTTGTGTGTCCAGCACTCAGCACGATGCTTTCCACCGCGGGGGCTGCACGGGTGTTTACTGAATCAATGAGGGATGTTTTGCTGCGGTTTTTCAATCAAGAGCAGGGAAGACATCTCTCCAGGGGAGTCATTCAGAACATCTGGGGTAGGGGTAGGCATTGATTGAAAATTTACATTAACTGTTAAAACATCATTTTGTATTTGGAGAGTGAAAAGAAAATCCCTATTTTCATAATATGACCACGGCAAATAGAGCTTGAGAAAATCTTTTGGGCTGGTAGGACCTAGTAAATAAAGGTTCCCCAGAGAAACCTACTAGATATGGTGGGGAAAGAAAGGTGACCTATGTGTGAGGAAGTCAGGGAAGGCGCCTGGGAGAAGGTAGTATCTGAACCAAGGCAGGATAAAGAGGAGTTTACCAGGTGAACAAGCTGGAGAAAAGGGTTTCAGGCAGTGGGAATGGGGAATTCGAAATGAGAGAGGAGGGTGGGCTCAGGGAGTTGGGGGGTGGGAACCAGTGTTAGAAGACAGCGGAGGATGAGCTGCGAGGGTGTATCAGCTGGGCCACAGACCCACTCCAGGCAGCTGACAAGAAAAGGGACTGTTTTGTTCAGATCACTGAAAAGGCCCAGGCTGGAACGTCAGGCCTGACCCCAGGGATCTGTCTCCCTTTTCATTCTGGGGCCGGTTAAAAGGGTGCCAGCACTTCTAGACTTGCAGCCACCCTGCCCGGGGAGATAAAACACATCCACTGTCTCCAGGTTTGAGTCAGTGCCCTGGACCCCTGAGAAGGCAGGCTTGGCCACACCTAGACCACATGATTTGAGTGTGGGGAAGGGCAAGCCCCCAAAAGGAAGAGATGGGTCCTACTGCTTGAAGAAGGGGGTGCGTGTCAGTGCACCCACAGGCCCAGGCGTCCAGGAGCCAGGCCAACGTGTGCACTCCACAATTCCTGGGTTGGGATCTGCTGTTGCCGGTCTATCCTGGAATTTTAACATGAGGTAGCATGGATGTAACACGCAATGTGCATGGAGGTGGTTTTTCTCCCTACTGAATGGTTCTCTGTTTTGTGGTGTTCTGTTCCAACCCAGGGCTTCCTGGGTTCCATGTGGCAAGGCCAACCTCTGGGAGACGGGTACATAGAAGAGCCCATGCTAGAGACAGGCCACCTCTGTCCATGCTCTTCCCCTGCCCCCCCCCCACCTTTGGAGCTTCCCCTAGTGGAGTGCCTGGAAAAACCATAGTCACTTACTCATTCAACTAGCACTTATTGAACACTGTGTGTATGCTGGGCACCCACTCGTGACCCCGAGGGGACAGTTGTGATAAGGCAGAGGTGGCTGCCCTTAAGGACCTTATGTTCTAGTGGGGAGACAGACAGCAAACAAGTAAACAAACCAGTAAGACGAGACAGTGTTAGAGTAAGCGTAATGAAGAAAATGAAACTGGGTGGTGCTGTAGAGGGAGGAAGCCACTTTTAATAGGGTGGTCATGAAAAGTTTCACTGAGAAGGTGGCATTTGAGAGCCGGGGCCTGAATGAGCCAGGAGGAGAGCTTAGGAAATGGCAATGGCAAGTGCAAAGGTCCTGAGGTGGAAACCAGCTTGACTTGTTCAGGGCACAGAGGAAGGTGGTATGGCTGGAGCAGAGCCATAGTAAGAGGTGTGGGGGAGGCAGGCAGGACCAGGTTTTGCTGGGTCTTGGTAGGGCCTGATGGAGGCGTTTGGAATGTGTAAATGTGATGGGACGCTGTTGGGGGTTTTAAACAGATGAGTGGCACAACCCGATGGACCCTTGACAAAGCTCCCTCCAGCTGCCATGGGGAGAACGGAGTAGAAGCAAGGCTAGCCCCATGGGAAGTCCCTGTAGGCACCCGGGTGGGAGATGGGGGTGATGGTGGGGTGCTGTTTTGTATAAATCGGATGGGTCAAAGGTGACTCCTAGGACTTGGGATTCAGCATCTGGGTGGTGGTGAGGTGGCTTCCTGAGATGGGGACGATGAGGAGGAACAGGGTGTTTTGAAGGGCTGGGGTAGGGAACCAGGAGTTTCGCTTTGGA